GGCTGACGTGAATTTAGACCCACTACCGACAGACTAATCGAAGTTTCAAATGTTAGTGTGAACTAGTTAAGAAGGGGTACATGTACTAGGCAGCGCATATTCTTGGACCAGCTCTCTCGGCCCAGTCACAGTCCTGATCGCATTCTCCTGTTAATTTCGCCGATTCGATTAAGATTGCGCGACAAACACGACTTGTTTTATCGATTCTTTTAACCAAAACACTATCAACTGTTTTTCTTATTTTTCTATGATAACACGTAGATCAACAATTACTTTGTACGAGCTTTCAACTTCTTACACCGGTAATATAATTTGTAATATCTATAAGTTTGATGTAAAAATATATAATGTAAAATATAAACTATATGATATGATATACATTTAAATAGTAAGCAGTCCAAAATATTTCGAGTAATTATGATTTATTATTCGGCGTCAATTTGGCACAGAAATGTGATAGATCTTTATTCAAATTTTTAAGAAAATGATTAAAAAAATAGAATTGCCATGAAAAATAGTTCTTCCTAACAGGTACTATCAAAAGCATTACACTTTGAGTACTTCGTATATTTTTTTGTATTGTGTGCAAATCTGTGAACTTTTGCATACTTTTTTTGCAAATTTCTTATAAATACATAAAAATTTACAGCTTAGTGATAAATACATTTTAGTAGTAGGTAATGTCTTTGAATGGTTTTGTAACTTTTTCTTCAGCTGAACATTCACAAATAATTTTGTTTTAGTTTTGTATTCTTGTATATTAGAAGTTTTTACTTTTCGATCGTGAATGTAGATTTAAATTTGTATTAAATTATCTTGGGTTAAGTAGTACTCTATTGCAGCTATTATTTCTGTTGCAATATTCATCTCTAATTGGTATTGTCTCATATTTTTCTAAATACCGTGCTTAAAATACATGATGCAGATTAATATTCATATGAACTGCAGAAATTTTCAATCTCACAAAATTATCCAAACTCTTAAAATAAGCAAAATTAATACGAATTATGAAAATATTTTGTACTGAAAATGTATCATAATTTAATTCACATGAATTCAGAAAGGGCAACGAACTCATTAATCCTCGGAGAATGAACTCACAGTAATTGAGTTCGGATTATTTTTCATTCCGATTAAATCGTCGTGCAAATAAGTTACATAATTGATCTCAATATCTACTTATGTAGATTCAGAAAAAAACATTCTTCCTCTTCTTCTTTTTCTTTGTGGAAATGCTCGAAGCATTGATTATGAATGTTTTTTAATCCTCGATCACAAATGATCCAATCATCGACACGCAAGGGGTATTTATGCTTTATCCTTGAAACTTCCGAAAGTCAAAGTAAATAACTTCAAGTTGAATTAATTGGGCGAAAAACACAGTTAATTAGTAATTTCTTAAAAAATGAATTTTGATCCAACTTAAAATATACAATAAACAAATATAGAACTCTAAATAATCCTTTGCCTTATAGAATCGAATGAGATTCGGAAAAGTTTGAATTTAACAAACACGGACATAGATTAACGTGGTTGCAGTTGAAACGCAGTATCATTTCTCTGTTATCAATATGTAATACTTAGATTAAATGTAATCATACTATGAAAGAATTTCTTTCCCTTCTCACGAATTACCGACAACAAAATAATTCTATAGTACAATTAACGAATAAATCCTAAAATAAGGGATGACGAATAATTTTAAAAAATGTTGCTAAATATTTATAAAATCACCCCTTAAAAAATTAAAAATCTTTCTTCTAAATAACTCCAAAATCTTTCTCTAAATAATTTCGACAATTTTCCGCAAATAACTTTTTGTTTTCTAAATAACTTCGAATATAATTCCATACGGCACCGCAAAAACAACGCGAGAATAAAAACATTCAGAGTCCAAATTCCCCAAAACAGCTACAATTTTTTTTCCAAATAACTACAAAATCCTTCTTTAAATGATTTCAAAAACCTTCCCCAAACAACTTTTTGTTTTCTAAATCATTTCAAATATCAGGAACTCCATACTTCACCATAAAAATAGACTTAAGAACAAATACATACAAAATCCAAATTGGAATAACACAAAAATAGACTCAGTCGGTTTCGATCATGAACCAGTTTTACAGCGAACAAACTCTTGCCGACCGACGAAACATTTCGATTTCGTTTTTCGAACACCCACGAGCAAACGCGCCGGTTATCAGTGAAAGTTCCACCGATCGTTGTTCGAACCGTTGCACACAGTGTGCGGGCGTCCAAATTCCCTAGTCTTGTTATCTCGGCCCGCAAACCGGATGACGCACACCGGTTGCATGGAATGTTGGAATTCCACGATTCAATTCGTTCTCGAATGCGCAATCGAGATGTTCATGCGACGATCGTTCTGAACCTCGGGTGGCACGGAATAAGGTCAACGTCATCGATGAAAGCGGCGTCGACGACTCGATTATACGTTTGTACACGCAACTGACTCGTTGACTACCCGTGGCTACCGACGAGTCCCCGATATCTAACGATTTGGGGGAGCTGACGTCGATTGTGAACGCGTCGCGTTATACCAGACAGTCGAACGCGTCACGTGGAAACGGAGAATCTCTGATCGCTTGGCGGAATGCGATATCGTCCCCCTTACACCAAATCCATGAACGTGGAAATTTTTTCTCGTTGGAGTTAACAGTAGAAGTACCGCGCCTGCAGAATTACCTACTTATTCCGGGTTTTTTATTTTATAATTATTAAAAGGGTAAAGGTTACATTATAAATGTAGAAATATGATATTTATAGTTATAATTAATAATACCACTAGAAGTATCGCATTTGATAAAATTACTCGTCTTCAATTTCCTTATTTTGCAACTATCGAAACTGGTAAATATTCAGATATAATAATGTTTATAATTATAATTAATAGTAATACTAGAAGTACATCTAATAGAATTGTTTGTACTAATTTCTTCATCAAAATTATAAAGGTATTTGTACTATTTTAGAAGTTATTAATTGAAAATGAATTCTTTTATTTGTATAATAGAGTAAACGATGTACAGAAATTTTAAAAATATACTCTTATAATATTGAAAAGTTACATATGAATAACTTTAAGTAGATGGTAATTGTAGTGTTAAGTTTTTACAGAGCAAAACTTATTATATAATAATGAAATTCTTAAGATATGGAAATAAAATTTGTAAATTTTAAAAAGTTGAATTTTTAATTTATAAATTAACAAAATGTCTGGAACTATCACGAAATACCGTTGTTATTTTCCAATGTTTTGAAAAAATGAGAAAAAGTAATGTTGCATAGTAATAGTGATTTCACTTTCATTGTAAGCTCGATTGAATATACATTATTTTATAGCTATTATACTGTTAAATATGATACTACATAGTAAATTTTAATTTGCACCAAAATTGATACATCATCTCTCCCACGTGTACCAAGATGAAATCCAGAATTTTACTGATGACTAAACTCGAGTTAACAACCATATTTTACGACAACTGCTAACATAAACCGTATTTTTAAAACACTATGATTCCTTACAGCTGAACAAACTTTGAAATTACTGCACTATGAAAGTAAGAAGACCGCACATCATGCTTTGATATGTAGGTACAGGATCATCCTGGAGGGTACAAACCCAATGCCTATATCGACATCAAGTAGGAACATTATTTTAATAGCCAATTTCTTAATCTTTCAATTTTTCAAATGTAAATGAACTTTAAAAAAATGTTTAATTGATCCAAAAATTATTATAATTATATTATTATAATTCTTAGCTGAACGTTTTTGCCTTACCTTTAGATCACAAATTATTTTGTACTTAAATAAAAAAATATGTTATGAAATTAATTTTTACTTACAGATAATTACTTATATTACAATTTTTTTTACATTTCAATTATTTCGAAAATTAGCACATTTATTAGCAAATAGTTAAAATCTAGATTTACTATTCAATTACTCGATAAACCATGTATTGCATGACTAAATATATGAATATAATCAAGTGTGGCTAAATTTAAATTTAAAAATTAATTCACGGAAGCAAATACTAAAACTAATTGCAAGCAATATTGAATCTTTAATGGACTATGTATAAAAGATAATTTAAATTTATATTTTTGTACGTAAACAAATTCAGTTTGAAATATAACAAAGCCGATAATAATAGTTTAGGAATACTGAAAACAGCTGGTCAATAACTTATCGACTCTCAAAGTAGAACAAACGTCCTAAACTTTGAGTGTGTTTTCAATAGATACAAATTCTAAAATACCTCGTCTTTACGATCAACCCTCGATCCCCATTAAAGATCAAGAGAAACTTTAAATCTTCGACTTTAGTAATGCCTGTAAACAATCCAACAAATTCACGCAAACAGAATATTCGAAAATTCACGAAAACCGAGTCGCCCGACAATCAGTCAAACGTAGCACCGGACGGTCCGTAGCTCTTATTGCGTAAGCCTCAAAAGAAACGCGACCAGATAAGTGACATTGCTCAAACAAAAAAAAATTGTCATTCATCCGAAAAGAATAAATCTCCGTTGCACGTGCCAACGATTCTTCGGCGCGTCCCTGCTGCTCACAGAAAACTCGAAGCTCTGTCCGACCGCCACCATAACTCGAACCATCGATCAACAAATAAGAAACCGAAGAAAATAAAAGAAAAGAGAAAATCTCTCTATCCCCATACGAATAAAAAGAAAAAAAAGAGAAGAAACGCCGTACAAGCAACGTCAATCTCGAGTATCGATCAAACCTGAACGCAGGCATGCGGATGTGCGAGAGTCCAACAAAACGAATAGGTTCAATCGTTCCAGTAGCCGCGGCGGCGAGAGATCGGTTGCTCTCGGTGGCGCGATCGCTGATCCTCTCGCGCGCGCATTGTACACACACACCACGCGTACTCCCTAACCGAATCACGGCGTCGATTAACCACGAAAGGGAATGAACTGAAAAATAAGAAATATAAAAGGATTCTCTGGTACTCACTATAATCCGACGTGTCGTCGTTAGAACCGTTTACCGTGCCGTCAGGCAGGATCTGCAGGTGCCGGTTCTTGATGTACATCTGGATCTTCCTGGACGCGCCGGTGATGTGGGACAGATTCGCGGACCGTTCAGCCCTGACGCCCGCGTCACCGATCAGATCGACCGGCGCCGCACTCACTGCACTGATAACCGTGCCGATCGTCAACACACTCAAACCGGCGCTGGACGTCGTTCTCGCACTGCAGTGAAACACACCCGTTTTACGGAGAGCGCACTGGCCGAACGCGACGAGGAACAGGAGAAAGGCCAACTGAAAGTACGAGGATCGCGCGTTCGTGCACTCGCGTCTCTTCCTCCTCGCTCGTTGCCGGGAACTCCTCTGCTGCTCGTACCGGGGAAGCCCACCGGTCTGATGATGATCGGTCTGCCCGACCTTGGCTAGTCCTCGGTCTCCTCTCGCACGGCTGCAATTCGCGGTGTCCGCGGTGTATTCCTCGCGCGTCTCCTCATCGGTCACACCGTCCGAGGACGGGAGCGTGCCCGCGAGCTTCTGGTAACTCCGACGATGACCCGTCCAACTGGGGGGCTCGGCCGACTGACTAGAGAACAACGCCTTCCCTATTCGCAGCCCGCAGTCCGGGGCCCGAACCTGCGGCCAATTCTCCGCGGAAAAGTCCCGCTTCGAACAGCAGCCTCGCTCCCCGTGCCGGTCGTCGATGGCATTCTTCTTCGCGGATGTCCTCGACGGGTCTCGTCGGAATCGACGAACAGATAGATCCAGGTAGCCGCACGCCGATCGCGTCTCTTCTATCGAGCGTTCCTCCACCGAGTCGTGTAATCGACACTCCAATTGCTCCGAGCAACGAGCATTCCGCTGTATGTCTTCGGGATCGCTGGCTTCCGGCACGTCGGACTTTGTAGATAGGTCGAATTCAGTGGACGAACCGTTTCGCCGGAATCCCCGGACTCCGAAACCACTTCCGACCCGTCGAGCAGCGAAGCAACGTCGACGGTTCACGGATCCATCGTTGGCCGGATCGATGCGGGTTGATCGACGCGCGATGCAGGTCCGAGCGAGCCTAGTCTCGCGGCGCAGGGAAGAAGACTCGGCGGACGCTAGCGTTACAATCGGTATCGGGCAGACGGCACGGTAATCACAGTGCAGCACCCTTGGCCCGCCCGTGTCGATCTCAGCGGGCATGACGGTCTCATCCACACTCCTTACCGAGCCCTCCTTCTTATCCGCGCACAGCTTTTCTCGTCTCGTTATCTCTTGGTATCTCTTTCACTTTCGTTCGTTGGCTCCTTTTGCCTCATGCGCAACGGACTCGGTCCACTTCCACCTCCTTCTCCTCCACTTCTTCTTCTCCTTCGCCGTCGCGTGGTAGTCTCGCGTAACGTCCACACGGTTTCCGCGTGGTCCCGATAATTTTCTCTCGCGTTCACCAACGAATTAAAACGAACACAGGATTCGATCGGTCGTTACGGTAATTGCTGGTGCGGGATCTGAGTGTTACGATTAGAGTCCACGTCATCCTCGGTTCTACTTTTCTTCCAAGCGGAGACAGTTTTCCCGAACGATTCCCGGCAGGCACGGAGGATGCAGCTGGTGGGCCGCTGTTACGGTCCATGCGCCGTGTTTTCGGCGCTCTCGCATTATTACCAGCCGTCATTCGCAGCCTCTCTTCCGGTACTGTTCACTCTATCGGTTCCGATGGATCGTTCGATGCGTGTGATCGTCGACGATCGGGTGACGGATCGGTCGGTCGGTTGTTCGGCCGGCTGGCCGGTTCGCGTTCGTCCCACTGGCTGGTCTTTCCTCGCCAACACGATCCAGATCGCGCTAGTCAGAACGGCTTGTTCGCAAAAATAGGAAACCACGGAATTGGTTTACGAGGTAACATCGAGTCGAAGCGCGCGCACCCCGACGGGTCCTGTAATGTAAACGAGGGACCGGATCGTCGCCGCCGACTTCCCGTAGCACTCCCCGACACTCTCTCCTCGCCGAGGGTAATCGTTACACTGCGAATGATCCTTGGTGACGACGATCGGATGCCGGAGAGAGCGCGCGACGATCGGGTCAAACGACAGCGGGTACAGCGATATATCCCGATCGGGGCACCACCCCTCAGCCGCAGAACGGAATTCCCAGCGACAAAGGAGGCGAGAGGATCGTTGCTCGCTCGTCTTTAATCGGTTTTGTTCAAGCACCGCGCGCTCAGGTTGATGCTACCGAT